AAGGAACGTTCGGGAGAAGACTCCGGTTGAGGACTGCGAGTTTTTCTTCTCCTAGGATGGACGTCGGCGTCTTCGTCTGTCGAGTCGGCCTGGTCGCTCGTTTCCAGGTTGACCCTTTCGATGCCGTCGCCTTCGGTCTCCTGTTCGCGAATAGGAGATTTTTCCGATTCGTTCAGCGTCGTGTCAGGGTTTTCTTTTCTGGAATCCTTTTCTGGTACGTTTCTCTGATCGATTCTGGGACGATCCGTAGGAGCGCCGAAATCGAGTCTCCTTCCGCGGATCTTTGTAGTTCCGCGGGGGCGAATCGCTTTGGTTCTCGCGGTCAGGGTTTCGAGCCGTTTTGCGAGCGAACCAATAAGCTTTTCCTGCTCCTCCGATTTTTTGTTAAATTCGGAAAGCATCTTTTCGACGGTCTCGGCGTTAGCGTTCGTAGCATTAGCCGCAGGCGCGTCTTTTGGTAGTGGTGTTTCAACGTTGTCGCGCTCGTCGCGAGTTTGGTTGTCACCAGCCATCGTTTCTTCGTTGGTCATGTTGCGGCTACGGTGTAAGATAGATCCGACCCCCCCTCCTTCTAGCGCCAAACTGTGGGAGTCGATTTCACCCTACTGTCAACTAAATCGTAAATAAGAAAACTTCGGGAAAAACCCTAAGTTTCCAGAGGAACCGGCTATCTGCGAGAACCGCACAACGAAAATGAGAAAACGATAACTTATAATTTGAATGAGAATAAACGAAAATAGAGAGCAAAGAGGTTCTTATTCCGAATCTGCGTTGAACTGGTACAAAGAGAGTAGCCGAAAACGTATGAACTAGAAAACCCTAAATGAGACGCAGCTCGCTAACAGAAAAACGGAAAGATTCCTAAATGCTAGTTTTGGTGGTGAGAGCTCTGAATTTCGTGTATTTGCTTCTGCCCTAGACCTCCTCTTTATATACTCCTCGTCTTGGCTATCCGATCTTTCCATTTCGCCCAGATTTGACTAAATCGGGAATTTTCCATTCTTCTCGATCCTTCCTTTTCTTCTGCGGAAATCTTCTATTTCTCTTCAAACCTTCCTTTTATCTTTAAACTTGACTTTTATTTTCCTTCTGCGAGTAAACCGT